CAACCATTTAATGAATGTTTGCTCAAAATTAATATTCCAAAGAATCCCTTCTTGACAATATCCTGGTTTCTCTACAGGCAATATAGCAAAAATATGGAGTATAAAGACTTGAAAAAATCTTTTCACTAAGATATTTCTTGCCTTTTTACTATGATAATCTGAAAAGAGATGCCCCCATTCATTTCTTAAAGGCTCTATTTAGAATGCTAACTTGAATAGATATCCTATCTCATAGCGATATTTTACACAGCATTTTAACACAATGTTACAGATGTTACATAGTAATAAAATCTTGCTCAAGGCAATCAAACATTTCTGCAGAAAATGCTGTGATTTTAACATACGCATATAATTTGTTCACAAAAGACAATGCTGTGGCAGCAGGTGGCCAATGAGCATTAGAAATATGACTAGTGTGTAAGTGTAAAATGCACACTGAATTTGAAGGTAAAATATGAAAAAGGATGTAAACTATTTCATCAATAATTTTATGTTGAAATTATAATATTTCAAATGTACTAGGTTAAATAAAATATAATATTAAAACTAACTTCACCTTTTCTTTTTCCTTTTTATGTGACTACAAGAAAACTCAAAATGACATATCTGGCTCACATTGTATTTTTGGGGGCAGAGCTGCCTCAGAGGGAGCTGACCCGCCTTGAGTTCAGAATGGGCCAGGCTGGGTAATAGGGTGATCCTACAACCCTTGCAAGCAATTAACTCAGGACATTAGTGGGTCAAAAACTCCTCATCTTATCCCTGAAACCTCTCCTCCTACAGTGGTCCATATCTTGGTGAAAGGCAAGCTCCTGCTTCCACACTATCGTTTGCTGCTGGATTACTTCAATAGTCTCCTAACTGGTCTATATCTGTTTCTCTATGGTGTGGGTGTCCTTTTAAAATGCATGTCAGATCATGTTGCTCTTTTACTCTGACCCTTCAAAAGCTCTCCATTTCCCTCAGAGGTCAAATTCATATGACACTAAGGCACTCGTGCAGGAGACAGCCAACATAGCAGGCCTTACTGCAATCCTTTGAAAGGCCTGCCTGCAAGACTGGCCCTTGGCTGGTGTCTGGGAACTTGAATTTCAGGAGGATTCCCACCATTCCCAGAACTGACAATGAGTTCCATTTGCTTGACCTGTTTGAATACACAATGTGGTTTATGTTGAACACCTGTTTCTTTTTCTGGGAATCTGGTCGTTCACATGCCAGGTAGAGGGTGCCTACATGGTCAGTCCCCAATTAAAATCCTGAGCAATGAGTCTCTAATGAGCTTTGCTGGTTGATAACACTTCTCACGTGTTGTCATAACTAACTCGATGCTGGGGGAATGCGTTCCCCATGATTCCACTGGAAGAGAACACAGAAACTGGTACCTAGTTTTCTCTGGACTTTATCCCATGAGCCTTTTCCCTTAGCTGATTTTGTGTAACAAATCAGTCCTATGAGTTCTCCTTGCAAGTCACTGAACCTGTGAGTGCTAGTGGGGAGTCCTGACACACCTGGGCCTCATCTGCCTCAGCACACAGATCAGCCACAGTGAGTTCCCTGCTGCTCCTAAGAGGCAAGGCCTCCCTTCAGGGCCACTCCACTTGCTGATGGTTTCTCCCTGACCTGATTGTTCCTGCCCCCCCCCATATGTGTGTAACTCACTTCCTCATCTCCTCCAGGCCTTTGTCCTCATGCATATTCCCTTTCTTCAGGAGAAAGCATCTCCATGTGTACAATGCATACAGAGAGATTATTGTCATCATCATCAACACCATCATCAGTCATTCTCCTCCTCCTCATCATCATCATCATCATCATCTTCCTCCTTCACATCCTCCTCCTCCTCTTCTGCCCTTCACACCCACAGAAATAACAAAGGCATGATAGGACAGTAAAATATTTGTAAGTAATGTGTGTGACCAGACACAGTGATTGGGATCTACATCACTATTTTCTGGAAACATGGGTAACAGCAAATTCAAACTCCTGGGCCAAGGCCAACTGGTAACATTTCAAATTCAATATTATAAAAGGAATCAGTACAAACAAAGTTTAGAACAAATGGACCCAAGGGGTCAAGTGTGTCAGACTAAATTGCAAGGCAGCAGTAGAATTGAGCTTAGAATGCACAGTAGGGGGTGAAGCAGGCAAAGGGAAAGAAGAGGGGCTTTGAATACTCAAGTACGACTCACTAGTGCTGATAACTCATATATAAATGCAGTGAATACATCATTCTGAATTCTAAGTGTGGGATCTTTGGAATCATTACCTGAGCAAATCCAACAACTCCATGGGCATCATCATTAGACAGAATAGTGATTTTTACATAACCATTAATACCAATCTCTGCTCCTCCTTTAGGATTTTTAAGCTGAACTCTGAAAGATTCTTCCTCCTCTGGCACTGTATCATCGAGAATATTTACTGCGATTATAGCTTCTCTGACACCAGGTTCAAATATCAGTTCACCTGAACTGACATAGAAGAATGTATACAGTCAGTCAGCTACAACAAATTAAAGACATATACACAGTACATTGCTCATAAAATTCTTATAACATTGATTGATATTCAAAATTTGGAAAAATCACATTTCATAAGTAAAATTTTAACATGAAGTGTTCATTTACTACTAACTTGGTAGAATAAATATAATCTGTATAACAACCAAATGCATGGTTTATAAATAGC